CAGTCTATATTATTATCAACTTCTCCATGTTAATTCTGCATTTTGCTTAAAAAGTAGAAAAGTACCAGAACACTCCACAGATTATGAGTAAATCTAGATCTGCAAGCGTGGTCAGTATTAGCACCATCATTATGATGGGAATTCCCTAGAGATTATAGAGTATTCAAAAATGACTGAAATTTACCCTTTAAACTCTACTTCACTTTGTCAAAAGCTCGGCTCTGATTCATTTCGGGGGATAAAAGGTTTTATTTTATAAGATTATCTGTCATTTACCCCACTTGTTGCTAAATACAAACTGTTTTGGAAAGAGATCTATTTATCTATCTATATATATTTATTTATTTCTCAGATAGAGAGATAGAGCGATAGAGAGAGGGAGAGCACCGACCGACCTGACTGCAGTCTGAGTTGTGTTGATGGGTGCTGGTTCAGCGATGAATGGCCACAACTTTTTGTCCAGTTTGTCTTCTATGGCATTCTGTGATCCAGAAACAGATGTTATAAAAGCTGTGTTGTGAGCAAAGGTGAGCAGGTCTGCCAGTGACATCTGAAACCTCACTTAGGGCTTAATACCTCCATGATGTCCTTGACGGTGGGTGTCCACCTGGAAAGCTGGTATGTGCTTTCTGTACGCTGCTTACGATCTGGCAGTGTTTTCCCAGAATTGCGACCCTGAAAAACAATGTATGTCAAATATTCAGGGTTTTTTTTTTTTTTTTTAAGTTTTATAAAATTCTCAGTTCCACAGCATGAGACTGTAGCCAAACTTACCCCAGCTATAATATTACAGCCTAGGTTCTGCAGGTTGTAAATAATGTTGCTGTCGGCCTGAATATTTGCATGCTGGATGAGCTTGGCAAGGTTCTCCTCCCCAATGCCTGAATAGACAACCAGGCAATGAAAACACTGTTTGCTATAAATAAGTTTCGTAACAACAAATAAAGCTTCTCTTCAATGTCACAAGATTAGGACTTAAAAAGATTTAAAATGTTTTGAGATCTTATTACCCTTCTTCTTGTGAAATATGAACAGCAGTATGATGCGGATTTTGTCAAAGGCATCAATGTCATTATCTAAGAGCACAGGAACAATGCTCTTCATGGCATCTTTCAGTGGTTCCCCTTCTGCATTTGCTCCCATTGCAAGGTCCTGTGGAAGAAAGCCCTAGTTTACTATCAACCTTTACTGAATATCATCAACTTAAGACAGGCAGTTAAGAGAGGTGAATGAAACCACTTTATTCCCCTTTCCCCCAACACACGTTCTCTTTTAGAGCCATGATATTGCCGTAAGACTATTGCAACAAGAAAATCTCAGATTGCAAAATAAACCTCCAGATTTGCATTTGTAATCTGTATGTTATGTCAACATAAAGCTAAATATTGGGTACACTAGCTATATGTAGCTTTGAGATTTCCCTTTTTTTGCAATCCTCCAATAAATGGTCACTTGGTACTGTGTAACTGCCTTAAATAATTTTGCTAACCTTACATGAATTTGGACTAAACTTTATTAAAGCCAGCAGCAAACTGAAAGATTATTTTATTTGCAACATTACACACACATTTGTAATGGGCTTCCAAACAATGTAGAACAAATGACAGCTGACAGAGAGCTGTTGCCATTTGGATCATACTGCACATCAGCCAAAACATGCCCAATGGATTAAAGAGACAGCTTTCAGACATGCTGACAATCCATTAGTGCAGTTGAGCGATTTACTCATAAAAAAAGGCCCCATTAACACTTGCACCTCATAATGCCACAGCCATGCATAGCTTATAATTTCTCATGTGCTTGTCACTCATCTGATACTGAACTAGATATGGCCAAACGTTTCCCCTCAGGAACACAAGGCATGTCTGGCACATATAGCTAAAGCACTGGGGTTTGGCTCCAGTTTGGATTGTGGCTTTTTTCCCAGGTCTTGCTGGTGGAAGAACTTCTACTGTACCAAGTGGTACATCTGTGTTATTACATGCCTTTAAGCTTGCAGTAAGCTCACAGATCTACGATGATTTACGCTGCTGATGTCTAGTTTAAAGCTTTTTACGAAATATTATTATTTTTTAGTTAACAAAAAAAAATATCAACAGACCAGAAACAAAGAAGCACAGGAATTACAAAGATACATTTCAGGTCACTGAATGTGATGAGTCAATGTAGTTATTCCATGTCAGGCATTTTGTTTAGACAGTCTGTGTCAGTGTATTGCATTGTGCCATTTGACCATATGTGGCAGAAATGTTACAACCTAATAGACTTTTTTTGCATTATAATTAATATTTAAAAACTATTAGGTTCAATAGTCCTCAAAGATAATAATTTTGATTACATTTACAATAGACATACATGATAACAAAAGCCAAAAACTGAACTGGACTTTCAAAGTGTAATTTACCAAAACAAAAAAAAACAAAAAAAACAAAAAAACACGATGGTGACTACTGCAAGTCAAACATTTGATTACAAAAAATTCTGTTGTGCACAAGGCTACTAACCTGCTCCACTTCACAAAGTTTATCAAGTGAGGCCTTGAATTTCTTCATACAAGCTTCAGCTAGGTGTAAGTGAGTGGAGTACTGTAAAAGAATTACATTAAAATACATTACTAATTACTTACTTTAACATATGGCATCATATTTTTATAAAAAACTTAAACATAATTACGACTGACAACTCTGATATAAGAAAAAAAATTTCTGGGAAGTTTTGTCATAATGGTCAGATTATAACTAGAATTTCTTTGGCCCAATTTTGATCCAACTAAACTTTAGCTGGCCCAGCTAATGCTTAATTAGGCAAAACAACCATGGTCTAAATTGTATCTAATTTATCATCACAAATGTATCCTAATATGCTTCAAAAACATTTCCCTATTTTTAATCAGCAAAGGTCTAAATAAACTGAACAGACAGTGCTTTTGGATTAGATAAATTAAAACAAACAAATAATGATAAGAAGTTACATAAGGGTTTGTTTGTTTGTTTTTTAACGTAACTCACCATGCTCAGCTCCTTCTGATACTGTGGCATCTTCTTTAACATCTGAGACAGATCTTTTATATTGGCCTGAAAAGAGAAACATTTTCCCCAAAGTTCCATCATAACACAAAAACAATACTCATGTTCTACCGTGGACTTTTCAAACACCTGAAAAGATAATGCACATAACACTCACATTGTCAGTGCACATCCTCTTGCTCTCACAAAATGTGCGAAGAAGCTCTGTCACCTTCCTGCAACAATCAAATGAGAAAATTAGACACCTAACACAGGAAAACTTTGACTGAATTACAATGATTCCACAATCAAGTTGTAGCAGTTGTAGAAATGTTACTGTGACAAACATACTTGGTGACATCAGCAATGTGCATGTGTCTGAG